GAACACGAAAGAAAATGAACAAATGAATATTGATGATGAAGCAAGCCTTCAAGTATCAGCACAACATCGTTATTCGAGTAGTGTTAATGCTTCTTCTAGTATTAATAATTCATTACATGGAGAATTATCTCGACTTTCGAATAGTGTTAACGTGTCTTCTAGTATTAATTACTCAATGCATGGAGAGATGTCTCGAATGATTCAAAATTTTGATCAGGTCAATATTGAAGAATCAGGATCAAGATCAGGATCAGGGTCAGGATCAGGATCAGAAGGATCGAATGAAGATATACCGAATATTATTTATGATGATACCATTAAAAGTTTAACGATTAATAAGCATAATAAGAATAAATTATTAAACGCCGCAGGAGGATTGCAAAGATATCGAAAATTAATAACACTCCAATTAAGTTATTCTGAAATAACTAGTTTACCTAAATTACCAAATTCCCTTAAAGAACTCCTCTGCTCTTCTACAGAGTTAACTAGTTTGCCAACTTTGCCAGTCTCCTTAACAAAACTCTTTTGCAATGATACTAAAATAATTAGCTTACCTGAATTACCTAACTCCTTAACTTTTCTCAACTGTTTCGATACTAAAATAACATGCTTACCAACCTTACCAAACTCCTTGATAGAACTCCGCTGTTATTTAACTAAAATAGCTATAATACCAAATTTACCCAAATCCTTAAAATATCTCGACTGTTACAAAACTCAAATTACGAGCTTACCAACATTACCTAATTCATTAACAGATCTCTATTGCTATAGAACACCGTTAACTAGTTTACCGGCCTTACCTAAATCTTTAACCAAACTATACTGTCATAGTACTAAAATAACTAATTTATCAACTTTACCGAATTCCTTAACAGAACTCCGCTGCTATGAAACTCCTTTGGCTAGCCTGCCAAATTTACCTAACTCCTTAACAACTCTCAACTGCTCTTATACTTCAATAACTAGTTTGTTAACTTTACCTAACTCCTTAACTTATCTCAACTGTTCCAATACTCGAATAACCATCCTATTAAGTTTACCTAACTTCTTGAAAGAACTTCACTGTAACCATACACAAATAAATAGTTTACCGACTTTACCCAAATCCTTAACAAGACTTGAATGCAATAATACTCCTATGGCTACTTTACCAACTTTACCTAATTCCTTAATAAGTCTTGACTGTCATAATACTCGAATAACTAGTTTACCGAATATACCTAATTCCTTAACTTATATCAGACCTAAATCTTTAATACAAAATAATATAGTAACTAGCTTACTAATTTCTGAATAACTCTATATTATCTTTCTTATTTTAAATTATTTCTACTTACAATTATTATTATGTTTAATTTTTCTTTTAACATTTTTTGTAAAATTGTATTAAAAATAATAAAGAATTATAATTATAACTCAAAGTACCTCGATCAATTTGATGAAATTACCCATTATATAAATTTTATATATCGGTTCAATTCAGTTAAAACGGGTAATGGGTTGTTCATGATCTGAAGACCGGAACGGTTTATTATGAGCGGTTGTGATGATAATAATGTATGTATGAGTATTAAATAAAGCACCGCTCTTATAAATCTGTCGGAATTAAAATCTTGGCCCAGACGATTTAAGACCAGTCTTAGGACCGTTCTTATGGATTGTGACCGGTCGGTCCAAAAGGGAGATTTTATTGATCCGAACTAATTTTCATCTACAGTATAAAGGAGTTGTAGTTAAGTAAACAACATCTCATATAGATTTTATTTAAAATAGTCCACGTAAAAATACTAGCTGATCGAAAAAAATGATGTCACATGAACCTATCGTTTGACAAATTTCAATCGTGATACAAAATAATAATTAGTCAATCAAACAGTCCAAAATAATTCAATATTCTCATAGGAACATTTTTTCATTTTTGCTACCCGAGTTTTATTCATTCATTATTTTCGAGTCCTTACTCAAATTCTCCCTCTTTCAAAGAATTTACTTCTTCCAAATTGAATTAACAACTGGATATGTTTGTAAAAAGCTACTGTAAAATAACTTTCGGTTTTGATAACACATTTTATTATTCGTAGAATACAATATTTGCTTGCGAAATTAATTATTATCGACTTTTTTTTTAAATTTTAAACTTCCTCTTTTATGCTTTTAGACGTGTATCTAATTGGTCGGAAATTTTTATAGTTATTTGAGTAAGATTTTTTTTTTTTTAAAAATTATTAATTTTATTCGTGTTTGGTTCAATCGCTTTGGGATGTTGCTATCGAATATTTTGAATTATTTATCCGCTTTACTCTTGTACAAGTATTGGGTAAGGTCTTTTGTTTCATTCCGTTGCTATTTTTATTTTTTTTTATTTTTTATTTTATTCTAATAATAACGGATTGTATCGCCTCAAGCTTCCCTAGTTATATTATGAAATATTTTCAAAACAAAAATTCATGAGCGCTAACTAACATTCAATTATGAGCACATCAAATAAAAGGCTTGTCCATATCACTTTTGTTAGACCCTTGTAGATCAATTTTGGACTTCCGACCAATTTGTTCTCTGGCTATAATGTTCTCCGGAAGATCTTGCGATCAAATTTTGAACTCTTTTGTTGAAATAATGCCATAATATACTGTAAGAAATTATTTAATTTTTATTTCCTAATTTGTCTCATATAAGCATCAAATAAACTTTTTTTAGATCGTGCGTATATATTTATAAACAATAAAAATATTATTCAATAGTCTCTATGGCGGCGATCTAGATGAAATATAAAAATTAATGAAAGTGGATGAAGGAAAGAAATAAGGAAAGAAGTTTGCTGTGTATAATCAAAAAAACGAACTCTTTCTTTCTTTTAAAGTTAAAATGTAAGTTTCTCCTTTAGTACAAAATAATAAATTTATAAAATATAAAAATCTTTAGATATTTGCATATATTTGAGTGAAATTATCTTTTATACAGTCAGTCACTCTACTACCAACCGACGGTTTTGCTTGTTATAAATTTGAAAGTCCAAGTCATTTTTGCGAACAGCCAGAAATAATGATAGAAATACACAAAAAAATTTTGCCCATGGCTCACCTTGAAAATCTAATTGTGAAGCTCAAATCCAAAAAAATTGAATTGATTATTTTTTTTTATAAAATTTAGAATAAAAAATTTTTTTGGTTCAATTAACATCATTGGTAAAGGTTCACACCAGTTATTATAAAGCCAAAAATATTTCCACCAAAATAAAAAGCATGAAGCTTAACATGCTAACGGAGAGCAGTTTCAGATGCTCTTAATACTCCTACATTAAATGAAATAAATGGTAATACACTTTATTTAACTATTATCTATTTATAAATCAAATTATAATTCTTTAATAATTAATGTTTTTTTAAAAAATAATTAATTGATGGTGATACTTAGATTGTAATTCATTTAATTTTATTATACAATTTAAATTGATTAAACTGTTAATTAATTTAATTTATTATAAATTTTTTCATAATTAATAATATTTTAGTTTGTTAAGTTATTTTATTAATAATTTATATTTAATTATTCTATTTATTATAATTCAAACTTCAATAAACTTTTATTAAAATAAAATATTAGTAATAGTAGTAAAATATTATTATATTGTAAAGAATATTTATAATTTAAATAAGTTTTAGAATAATATATTTTTGTTAATATATTGATTTATATTACTTGCAATATAAATTTAATTTTGAGAAATAATAAAACACTAACTATAGTAATCTTTAAAATATAAAATCATTTTTGTATAGTATATATTTTGTAAAAATTCAAATATTAATCTACTCATATTGATCAAATTAGAGATTGATTTTACTTTAAGATTTTTTGATAAATTGCTAAATAGAGATAATGACAAGTAGGTTATTATATGGGATCTTTACAATAGAAAGGGAGGAAATAGTTAGAAAAAATCAATTTTACTTTATATGCCAAATATGATTTTTAGGTTAAAATATGTTCAGATTTAGCATTAACTTAATTTTTATTTTTTTTCAGCTGTTTTCCTTTTTTTTATTGCAAAGTTCCCATTAAGAAATTTATTATAAAAATCAAATTACGAATATAATAGATTATATAATTTATTGTATAATTTTAATAGCTTATTTACATATAGAAGAAAACTCAAAAATTGATTATAAGAATTTACTTAAAGGGTAGTTAAGTTTAAATTAGTAATAAAAATATTAACTTTATTATTATCACCATTTTCAAAATGATATATGTAGTATTAATCATCAAATAAAAAAATTTATGATTTTTACTAAATATTTTAAATCTAATAAATTTAACATGTTGTTCAAAGATGATTTCTTAAGATTCTATAACAGTATTTGTATTTATATGTTTGTTTTTAGCTTTCTTTTAAGTTTTAGGCTAAGTTATTTATACTATTTGACGCTTTTCTTACTCAAAGTTTATTATTATAGAAGAAAGATGCTTATTTAAATAAGAAATATAAAAAATAAGAAAAGTGTAAAAAATGCAATCAAATAAATACAGAATATAATTGGTGTATAAATACAATTCAAAATAGTTTCAATAAAGATTTTATAATTAGATAAGTAGTAATAATAATATTGATAAATTTATTCAAAATGTTCAAATTTTAGCAAATAATAAGTCTAAAACATTAGAATGGTTTTCTTATAATAGATTTCATGATATTAAATATATTGTAAGAGATGTATTTGGCAACATATATAGAGTAAAGTAAAAAGATGAATATATAATTAGTTTGGATTTAAATAATTTAAAATAAAAAAGATATTATTCAGAAGATGTGACTCTTAAAAGTTTAAATAATTACAAAATATTACATTAGAATTTATTAATGAGGTAATATATAAATTAAAAACATTTTATTACTTTCTATATTAGATTAAATTATATTATAAAATTACTGAAAAAGGATTAACTAATATTATCAGATGTTATGGGATAACTCAAAATTTAAATACAAAAGGTTACATTTTAGATGCTGAATATAGAAGTTTATAAAACTATTTAAATAAAAATTTAAAATTGGATTAGTATATAAAAATTGATAAAATATATAGTACTTATAAATATCTTATAGATTACTTATTAATTTTTTAGCTTCTGTTGGACTAATTTTTATCAATATAGGTATAAATTCAATTTCATCCATATTTTCTTCTTCTTTATTTATATTTAAAACTGTATTAACAATTTTATCATTAGTAAGTCTACTCTTTAGCATTTCATCCTTAATATATATATATTTATATATGTTAAGATATTTTTCAGAAAGTTAAAGAAGTAACATATCAAGCTTATCAATTTCTATATCAAAACTAAAAAAATAAATATGTATTAGAAAATTATTATATATAAGATCATATTATATAATGTTAAATATACTATACCTATCAGAAACTACTATATTATGATTTTCAAATTTATCAATTTCGTTATTTAATGAAAGAATATCTGTTTGTTTCAGTAGTTTAAAATTGTTTATGATAATACTATTGATCATACTTCAGCTACATTTTGTAGAACATCATAGAAAGTATAATTATCAAGCTCTTCTACAATACCATCTTATATATTATTATATACATTAATTCAATTCTGAATACTGAATAAAAAAGCACTTGTAATGAAATTTGAAAAAATGAATAATTCTTGCACTATATGGTTAAAGTTTATTAGTAATATTTAGTAAAAAATATTACACTTTTACACTATCTAATTTTTCTTAAGTTTTATCTAAAATAAGATGTACTGGTGTATTATCAATTAAAAGGATAATTTCATTTTTTTTGTTTTATTATTTCATTAAATTTAAGAAGAATTTCATTAAAAATACTAACTTGTATTTATACTTTCTTATTCTAAAAATAATAAACAAAAAGGTTTTTATGGTTAATATTTCTCATAATACTATGAGTTTTGTATTTATAAATAAATATGAGATTTATTTATTCAGTGTTAGCAGTATTTATATAGTAAAATATTATAACATGTATTTTCTTTTTATAACTTGATATACAGTACACAATGAAAGTTTTCAGAATTACATTTTTGTTTATTATATTTTGAAAACAACTCAAAAATACATAAAATTTTAAAATTATATATTTCATTATATAACAAAAAAATATTAAGCTAAGTCAATAACTTAGTTTATTGTTATCCTCCTTAATTATTTGTTCAAATCATTTTAATATGCTATAAACCAAATTAAGAAGAATTTCAGACTCGATTTCCTCCTACTCTTTTTTAATTACATTAATAAAAACATTTATAGTAATTGATTTTTTTTTAATTACAATATTGTTGACTTCTTTTTCCACATGTTCCTTCATAATTGACCACGAATTCTCAATCAGATTTAAATCTAAGCTATTTGATAGCCAATCCAACAATCTCAAACATCATTCAAAAAGAAGCTTTAGTTTCCTTTGGTATTTGTTTAGAATTATTATCCTATTGGAAGATCCAATACCTTCCCATTACATATTTTGCATTTTCAAAAAGGTTTTCATTTAAAATTTCTTGATAAAATTCTCTATATATAATTTTAATAAAAAGAAGAAACCCAACTTAACCTTTAGCTGAAAATGCATCTCTTGTATGAACTTTATATAGATATTTAATCATAGGTTTCTGTGGAAGTTGTGTACCAGCTTTATAAAATACCTTTTGTATATTTTAAAACTTTTGAAATGTGGTCTCATCAGAAAAAACAACTTGATTCCAATTTTGTCTTTGGTATTTCATTGTAAATTCTACACAATGCTGCTTATAAAGGTCCGTAAATAATGAAATGAACTTTAGAATTTTACAAATATATTGAAAGTTATGAAGCTCTCTAAGTATAGCCCTTTTGGATATATTAAAGTTGGGATGCATTTTATTCAAATTATTTGCAAACTTAGTACATATTGAAAATTTATTTTTTAAAATAAGCTTTTCAAAGTGATAATATTTTCTTGGAAAAAGCTTTTTCAGCCTTTTTGACTGAGGTAAATCTCTTATAAACCACTTTTTTTTAGTTTTTGATATAGTCGTATATGATAGAGAGTGAAATAGAAGTTATTTTATATAAAGCTTTAGTATTACGAGTTTCTTATTTTTACAAAGTTGTAAAACAGTTCAGCATTGTTTTCATGTAATATAGATTATGATAAATTTGACATAAAAATTGATCGACATAAATAAAGTCTAAATAAATATGATAATTATATCTAAAAATGACTACTGTATAATCACATAAAATAGTTATTTAATAGATTACATATTGTAAGAGAAAATCATGATTTTTTACATTAAATTTTATTCTAAGAACTTGTAGAAGTATATGCTAAAATTCTAAAAGATTTCATTTTTCAAAAAAACTAATTTCATTACTATTTAAATTATCTTCAGAATTATAAGATGCAAAAAGTTATTGTAAAACAATATGATCATTTACTATTAATTATAAATTTCATGTCAAACAATTGAGTTATATACGAAATATTAAGAATGCAATTATAAATGTATTTGAAAGTATATTCTTAAGACATTATCAGAACTATAAAGCATCATTTACTGATGTTTTATCTTAGAAAATATCTAAAAATAAGAAATGAGTATACGAACATTTCTGGAGTTATATAGATAAGAATGATAAAAATCTTAATGATACTTATATTAATCATATTATAAAAAAAGTTTTAAAATCCAATAAACAAACTACTAATAATTGTTTTTTATTGTTGCTATTGTTGATCTAATGTTCAATCCTACTGTTCAAACTATCATACTTTTTAGCAATCTAATAACTAAACATATGAATAAAAAGAATGAACAATAAAAGTTAGAATCTCAAAGATAAACAAATGAATTAAATGATAATGAGCATGATACAGAAATTAATTAAAGTATGATAATTATTCATATTTGATTATTTATATATCATAAAATATTAATCTAGCTAAGTTACTTCAGTTTTTTTATATGTGAATTTTCAGTTATGCAGAATTTTTCTTTATTATACGTGAATTTTATACTAGCATTTACTAATTTTAACTAAAGCATAAAGTAATAGTAGTTTATTAGATATTAGTAAATGTACTTATTATATAATTTATATATATAAATAAATAAAGTTAATTGCAAAATTTATTTAATATTTATTATCAATATATTATATATATTACAACACTTTTTAATGATCGTTATCATATTACTATTTGATAATCATTATTAAAAGTTCATTAAATGTGTCAACAAATGGTCCAATGTACATTGATTTTTTTGATGTTCATTAAAAGTTTGATATATATCATGATACACAATCATTTCATGACTTCCTGATAAAATGTCATTAAAAAGGAATACTTATTATAACAAAAGAGCAAATTGGTTTACCTTACCAAAATGATATAATTAAAAAAATTAGTCAAAACATAAGCTCTTATTATAAAAGCATCAAAATTAGTATTCTCCAATACAATTTCAAGATTGTTAGGTTATGACAATTTATTTTAAGCATTAAATAATAAATAATATGCTTTTCTAGAAGTAAGTATTTTATTTAAGAATTACTAAATTTTATTTTCTAACTTTATTATAAATTAATTAATTTTCTTTTTAAAATGATAATTAGATGTTTTTAGCAAACTTTAAAAATTTACCTAATCTTTATATTAATTATCATCTTATTGATCATGCTTGTAATTATAAAACTTGCATAAATATAGTTATTAAAACTAAAAAAATAATTCATCAGATATTTAAAGGAATTATATCACATATAAATAAGCACAATCTTAAATTTACTTTGTTACAACAAATAAATACTTTGCAAACTTTAAGATATTTAGCTAATAGTGAATTAGATGAACAAGAATGATAAAATACAATATTTACTACTATTATGATAAATTCAAAATTAAAAAATTTACTATCTAGATAGTATATTAATAACTAAATCTTTCAATATATAGCAATAAAGAAGAAAGTTTAGATAATGATGTAGGTGATAATATAAAAAATAATGGTAAAATATTTTTTATTATTTAGCTTTGTATAATTTTACTAATTTTGAAGACATACATTTGTATTGATCATTTAGTATTTTATTTTTTTTAGATATTACAAGCCTAATTACAAATATGATACCCATCAAATATTCTGATATTTATTTATAATCCAAATAGTGTTTACAAAATATTGAAGCTGATAGATTTATTTCTCCTAATATTCACAAAAATAGACTTTTAGAAAATATCATACAGGTTTATTCTTAATATTACTTGATGGATCAAGCATTATTATTGACTAATATCTATATTTACAATTTTACATCTTACACTAAATAGTGATTATCAAAAAAATTGAAGTTCACATTAGTGATGCAGTTAAATTGCCTTAGTAAAAGATAAAAGTAGTTTAGCAAGTATTAATGTAATACTTAAATACTATAAAAATGATGAGCAAGATTATGTTTTTATTTATATCACTTAGTTTGAAGATGATTTAAGACTGAATGGATTACTTTTATATCTAATATATCAATTACTAAAAGATACTAATGATTCTTAGTATCAAATTCATCCTATATCTACAGTAAAATCTATATTAGAAATTTTGTTTGTACACAATTATGATAGAAAGTATTCTGTAAATAATCACAATACTTTAAATTTAAAATATCTTTTTAATTATTTTTTATTTATAGCAATTTAATAATAGGCGAAAATTTGATATTATAGTTATTTTATATTTATTAAAGATCTATTCCAAATGACTATTACATGATATTATTATTATTATTAACTTAATCTAGTATTATACTGATATTATTATTAACAAATATTTGAAATTTAACTATTTTAATTATAAAATATTCATTTGCAATCTTCTTATTAGTATTATTAATAAGCTTGATAATAGACCTAATTTACTTCTATTATCAGCTTATAAGAATACTTTTATTATTATTATGTCAAATTTGAATGTTTAAAAAGTATTTCATCAAATATAACTAATATTCTATACAAATTCAGTTTAAATCTATCAAATTCAGATTTAATTTAAATTTGAATTCAGATCAGATCTGATTTATCAGATTCAAATTGAATTTAAATCTGATCTCTTAAATCTGAATTCAACTATTTTTAAAGCTGAAAAGTTCTTTTTCAATGAAAAGAAATGAATTTTTAGTTTTCTTTTAGAACTAAAAAGTTCTTTTCATTGAAAAGTAAT